CCATGCTATTTTCTCTCTAGGAGTGTTCTGGCTTCCCGAAGGCCTCCAGATTACCGCTAAAGCCTATCTTATCAGGAGAACCTTCCCTGGTGTCCCCAATCTGCAAGAGCAGTAAGTCCAGTCCCCACCTCCAAGGCTGGTCACTTTTCTGAGCTGCCTTGGATGCCTGGGAAAGTAGACTGTGCTCCTGTGGGGGAGGGGGGCAGAGGAGGCAATACGGGCAGGTCCCTGATGATTAAATACAGGATGCATGTTTTAAAAGTGAAGAAACAAACAGGGAAGCCAGCAGTTGGGAGGATTGTGGTTTGAGGCTAGCCCAGGCAAAAATGTTAAGGAGACTCCATTTCAACTAATATGCCAGGCATAGTGGTAAGCATGTATGGTTCCAGGCGGTAAGAGTGCCTCCCAGAGCAATTGAGGGCGCACGGAGAAGGGACGGAGGGAGTAAAAGTTCCTCGGGTTTCATGACCCAGAGTTGACTCACTGCTGGCCTTTGTGCCCTACTAAACTTTTCTCCTCAGGCAAACAGGCCTAGTGGGGGAGTGGAACACAAAAATAAAGCATTGCTCCCACTATTGACAGAACACTCTCTTTTCTTTACACTGAACGATCTGCCTAGGCCTGTCCAACCTCACGCTCCATCCACATCCTGACAGATGAGGGGTGTGGGGGGGATGCTCAGGCCCCAGGTGAAGGGGGTGCTGACACCCTGGCTGCTCGCCGATCCTTCGCTTGGTCCGGCGTTGTGCACGAGTTCATTCCCGCCAGGGCTTCCCAGGATGGGTGGGGAGACATTTACCAGACTCTCGCGGTTTCCTGGAGAGCCACTGTTTCATTAGGTGGCACCGGCGGCCACTCCAAGACCAACCTAGCTGACACCGCGGTTTTCCTGGGCGGGAGCCTCCCTGGCACGAGCTGGCCCGGCAGCACCCCCTGTCGGCCACCTCCCGCAGCTGCAGGTTGGAGCACAGCGAGGAGCGTGCTCCTGCAGGGCTGTGAGACATCTCTTTCCACACCAAATTTCCAAGGCTGCTTTTCTGCTCCTTTTCCAAACCTACTTTCACGAAAGGATATGAGTCATTTGCGAGTTGGAGTGTAAATGGCAACCACAGAGCCCACACAAAAGTGCCTTCCTTCCAACTAGTTTTACATAGGCTCAGAGAAGTTGATTGGCCCAGGATCACCTCCATGTGATGGAAAGTTCTGGGCCTTCCAGTGAATGAGGCTTGAATGGGATGAATGTGTGATGGGGTTGGTATGGGGTGTGATTTTTGCTGCCACAGCCCAGATCACCACAGCTGTGCCCTGTGGTAGGTCAAAGAGGTTGCTGTGTATTTGAAAAAGCCACACAGAAGCTCAGAAACTCAGATCATATTTCCCCGAAAGACCTGCTTGGGGTTCAAAGTCAGCCTGGGCAGGAAAATCTGTGAAACTCTTATCTCCAATTACCCAGCAAAAAGCCAGAAGTGGAGCTATGGATCCAAGTGATAAGAGAGCTAGTCTTGAGTGAGAAAGCTAAGGGACAGCACCCATGCTCTGAGTTCAAGTTCCAGTACCATTACTACTATTACTACTACTACCACCACCACCAAAAAGGAGAACATTGGCTCTGTCCTCTAGAATATTAGAGCACAACCACTTTGGAATACAATCATCTGTATGTATGTCTCCTGGCAATCCATTGACAGGGTGCTCTGAAAACGGAGCGTAGACAGACTTGCATTTCCTCAACATGCCCAGAACCTTTTTTATTTTTTGGCAGTACTGAGATGTGAACTCAAGGCTATGCACTTGCTAGGTCAGTACTCTAATCACTTGAGCCACACCTCTAGCCCCCAAGCTTTTGCTACTAGCACAGCATCAATGCTTGATAATACACCCTGAACCTGAGGCTCTGCAGGGAAGGAAGGGGGCCATGTGTGAGTATGTGTGTGTGCACTCATGTATGTGCATAGATGCATGCACATTCAATATCAGAGAGGATGATGTCAGGAAAAGTCATTTGGTTGGCTAAAAGGTAATAAGTTACTTGATTTGGACTGGCACAGGCCCCTGGGGGCAATTGTCTCCAGGCACAGATGAACTCAGATTAGTGTCCTAGGCAGCAAGGATCGCAGAGAACCTCTGCAAAGCAAACTCTTCTGCTTATTGGCAAATAACAAATTTTCCCAGATTATCAGACAAGAAGTTGCAGTTTTGAGAGACAGAAACTGGCTCCTACCATCTCAGGTTCTCCTGCCACAACCTTGTCCTTCCTGACATTCCATGGAAAATCTTGTCTGCATAGCTAAGGAAGCTGGAGACTTTGCTAGAATCACCAAAGAAATACATCTCCTTACCTCAATCACTTCTTAACTTGTTAAAGTATGCTTTGCCAATTTCTGCCAGGTGGAGTAATATATGGCTATTGTTGAAATGCAAAATATTCAACTTTGCCTCTTTCAAATAACTTGAAGGTAATGGGATGAGTGGATTAAAGATATCCCCCACGGGCTGGGAATGTGGTTTAGTGGTAGAGTGCTTACCTAGTATGTATGAATCCCTAGGTTCAATTCCTCAGTACCACATTCACAGAAAAAGCTGGAAGTGGTGCTGTTGCTCAAGTGGTAGAGTGATAGCTTTGAGCAAAAGAAACTCAGGGATAGTGCCTAGGCCCTGAGTTCAAGCGCCAGGCCGGCCAAAAAAAAAAAAAGATATGGCCCAATTTACATTCTCACCTGCTGAGATGAAATTATCACCCCCCTCAACATTAGAAATCTGCATCCTATTTTAATATTTTTCAGGTTGCTTGACAAGAATCAACTATTCATTTTTATTTATTTATTATTTTTATTTTTTATTGGTTGTGGGGTTTGAACTCTGAGCTTGGGTGCTGTCCCTAAGCCACTTTGTGCTCAAGGCTAGTGTTCTACCACTTGAGCCACAGTGCCACTTCCAGGTTTTTGAATGATTAATTGGAGATAAAGAGTCTCTGGGCAACTTTTCTGCAGCTGGCTTTGAACTGTTATCCTCAGATCCCAGCCTCCTGTGTAGCTAGGATTACAGATGTGAGCCACCGGAGGCTGGACTCCAAAAATGCCAATTGAGCTGTATTTTCCCTTTCTCAAAGGAAGGTAAGTACTTGTTCTTTATTCATTTCTTTTTTTGTGCCAGTACTCTGGCTTGAACTCAGAGACGCGTACTCTCCCTTGGGTTTTTCTCTCCAGACTGGTGATAGACCCCTTAAACCACACTTCTACTTTTGGCTTTTTACTAGTTAATTGGAGATAGAATCTCATAGACTTTTTTGCCTGGGTTTGCATTGAGTCAAGATCTTCAGATTTCAGCCTTCTGAGTAGGTCGGATTACAGGCCTGAGCCACCAGCACCCAGCCTTCATTTATTTCTTATAAGCCCTTGGGAAAGGAAGCCTTGAGAGACAGACCATATTCAGGAGGGGCTGGAGATTATGTGTAGAGTGAATAAGCTGTTGTAGCTGTTAAGAGAGAAAATTCCAGAGCACTATATCCTCACAGGTGCATTTTTACTTTGGAAGCGGGGGTGGGGGGGTGGGGGGATATGGTGATGTACAGAAACTCTATAGTTCCAGAACTTAGAATGATGTGATTTTTTTCCTCAGGAACATGGTAAAGACCATCTGTGTGTCTCCAGGAGTCTTCCCAGGACCTGCCATGTTGTAGGTACTCCCGAACACCTGCAAATTGAACAGTTAAACTCTCTTGCTTCTTGTTGTAAAGCATCACCCTCTATGGACAGTTAAACTCTCTTGCTTCTTGTTGTAAAGCATCACCCTCTATCACCTCAAGTGAGCTATTGGCACCAAAGTAACAACAAAAGGGTGTGTTTCCCAGCTCTCACACCTATTTATTTAGTACTAGGAGTTATTTTTTATATGGATCGGAACCAACCCCCTCAATGTTCCAGAAGTGAGAATATCGCAAATCCTGATTTAGAACTTCCAGAAAAGACTAAGGGTGAGCAACAGTATAAATACCATCCAGGGCAAGGCTGACAAGCCTTTTACTGTACTGCAGGCACATCCTTGGAAACAGGGTGGCTAGGGTCTCCAGGTAAGGTAGTGTCTTCCTTTTAGGAGACCCCATTTTCAGGGCTTGCTGTAAGTGGCCTCTTCTGATTATCTTTCCTTTTTCTGTGCCTCCAAAGAACTCTGTTTGACCTACCAGTTAGAAGAGTTCAACTAGAATGGCTAATTAGGGAGGAGGTGAGGATTGGACTCACACAATGTTAAGATCAGGGACTAAAGGAAGGCTTGATACTCTTAGTTCTCTATCTTGTGGGAGTTTATCTTATCTGGGAGTTCATCGCAGTGATTAATTAGTAGGCAGGCAAGGCAGACCTTTCTGCAGGAATCTAAGTTTTAGCAGGGTCAGACTGGTTGCTCAGTAGGGGTAGAGTGGTTTAAAAGGAGGCGAATGCCCGAGGCAAATGGAAGCATCAAGATAACCTTTAGTTCTGTCTTGGGTCTCTAAGCAGCTAGTGGAGCCATTGAGGGCTTCAAGAGGAGAAGAGCAGGTTTGGCGAGAAAATAAGGTCAAGATAAGTTATGCTTGAGACACTCCTGGGGCCCCCAGGACAACTGTCCTGGTGTCTGGATGTCCTAAAATGTGGGACTTAGAAGTAAGGCCTGGAGAGCTCTACGTAGGAATGGAGTTTTAAAGAATTGAAGAGGCCTCCAAGTTCGACGTGCAGAGGGGGAGGGCAGAGGGGAAATCTCGTAATGGTTGGAGGGCGTCAGGCACGTGATTGTGGGTCGGGTGACCAGACGCTTTAATACTATCAGAATTAGGGCGGGTAAGGTGAGGGGTGGTGCTTGGTCCCTGCCCGCCTTGCGGCCTTTCCTCTTGTCCTCTTCATCTATTGGGTAACATTGCTGTCTTTCGAGGACACGCCTTCGCAGGCCAACCAATCAGAAGTGGCGGGAGGGCACTTTCTTCAGGAGCTGGTTCCCGACTCTCACTCAGCCTGTTCAGGGAAGTAGGACCCGGGAGTAGCAGCCCGCCGCCTCTGCGTTGTGCGCAGGCGCTGCTGAGTCGAGGGCCAGGGACCGGGTGCCGAGCTGGTGAGAAGGGGACGGAGGTCCCAGGTAAGCAAGGGGATGGATGAACGATGGGACGGGGATTCCTCCTCCACTACCGGGCTCCCGGGGCCCCTAGCTCTTTCCGGCGCGCGCACCCGCTCAGGTGATGGGGCGGAGGGGAGCAGCGGAGCGGAGGGGAGGTGAGGTGAGTTGGAGGGCGGGACCAGTTCGGGGCCGGTCACGGTCACGCCACTCGCGCGCGCGCGCCGCAGTCACAGTCACGCCACTCGCGCGTGCGCGCCACGTGGGTCCGGGGTCGGGCGGGGGCGCGCTGCGGAGCGGCGGGGACGCGCTTTAGCCGCGCAGCACCGGGTGGGTTCGGCGTCCGTCTTCTCCCGCGGGAAGCCGAGGCGCAGAGACACCTCCCCGGTGGGTTGACTCGGGAGTACCTCTCTGGGCTCTGGCCGCTGGGGGCTGCAGGGAGGTCGGGTTTTCTGGACCACAGAACCCGCTCACTTATCTTCGAGGTTGTGGGCCCCGAGACTCGAACTGGTTTCTTTAGGGAACCGAGATGGTTTGAGAGGTCGCCGCGCATCATCGCCTGCCATCGCTGCCAGGCCCAGGAGTGTCCCGAGCCCTCTGTGTCCCGGACTGACCTCTTGGGTCAGGAGGGTGGGTGGAGAGGGGACGATTCTCAACGTTGGGTGCTCTCCAGAGTCCAGAGAGTAACTTGGGCAGGGCAGGATGCGTAAATGAAATCTCCCAAACACGGAGGAAATGAGCCGTCCCCTCCCCAGAGAATGGGTTTCCCTGCTTTCCCCAGAAAAAATAGGTATCAGCAAACTTACATTTATGCCTTTATGGAAACAGATGTGAAACTTTTGGGAAATTAATGAGTTAATACCCCTTGACCTACTGGCTGATTCCTCCTTTGGAAAATATGCAGAATAAAATCTAAGTGAGGAAAAGGTTACGGCATAAGGCTATGTAGTTTGGTGTTTTGGTCTCTCGGGTGTTGTTTCATTTCTTTGGTGGTACCAGGGTTCAAACTCAAGGCTTTGCAGCTGCCAGCCACGTTCTCTATCCCTTGGATTAAGCCCCTAGGCCCACCCCACCCCCTTTTGTCTTTCCTAGCTTATGGCCTGGACTGCAATCCTCCCATTTATGCTTTCCCAGTAATTGAGATGAAAGGCTCCCAGTATTGTGCCTAGCGTTTTATTGGTTGGGATAGGGGAGTGGGTCTCAGATTTTTGTGCCATGTTAGCCTCAAATGATGATCCAGCAGCTAGGCTCTGCAGTTGGGTATTTAAAAAATACATTAAAGCTGGGGGCTAGTGGATCACACCTGTAAAACTAGTTGCTCAGGAGGCTGAGATCTGAGGATCATGATTCAAAGCCAGATATCCAGGGCAGGAAAGTTCAGCAAGAGACTCACTGTCTCTCCCCCCACCCTCTCTCTGTCTTTTAAACCAGTCCTGGGGCTTGAATCCAGGGCCTGGGCACTGTTCCTGAGCTTCTTTTGCTAAAGGCTAGCCCTTTACCACTTGAGCCACCACACCACTTCCAGCTTTTTTTTGTGTGTATGTGGTACTGAGGAATCAAACCCAGGGCTTCATGCATGCTAGGCAAGCACTTTACCACTGAGCCACATTCCCAGCCCTCAGTGAGACTCTTATCTCCAATTACACCACCAAATAAGTAGAAAGTAGAGATATGACTCATATGGAAAAGCACTAGCCTTGTGGGAAAAAGCTAAGAGCATCCAGGCTCTGAGTTCAGGCCCCAAATATCTGCACATAAACAAAATAGTAGGTTAGTGGAAACAACCTCCAAATTTTCAGCAATAGTGAACAGATAAGTAAAGTGTGATTACTTATGCCAAAATGGTATATAGTGTGTCCATTAAATAAAAAAAATTACTAACAGGAATGCAGGATTCAGAGATACCACATAAAAAATATGTTCAGAACTACTTGATGAATATCTACTTAATGACAAAAACAATAAGTACCTTTTTTTTTTGAAGAAAAGGTTGTGTGTGTGTGTGTGTGTATGAATGTTGGTTGTGGGGCTTTACTCTGGGCCTAAGTGCTGTCCCTGAGCTCTTCAGCTCACGGTGAGTGCTTTACCACTTGAGCCACAGTGCCACTTCCACTTGCCGTTTTCTGGTGGTTTATTGGAGATAAGAGTTTCACTTTCCTGCCTGGGCTGGCTTTTTTTCCTCAGATCTCAGCAACCTGAGTAGATAGGATTATAAGTATGAACCACCAGCACCCAGCAGGTCATATTTTAATAAACCGTTCTTAGACTACTAATATTCAAATTCCACTAGTGAATAATGGGAGTTCAGACTAATGAAGCAGTGTTCTGATGCTAGACAGCTAGGGTCACACTCATGTGCCTTTAGGCATCCGAACATACCACATTTAACCAGTACTGGGAACCAGGGCTGGATACTGGAGAACATGTGATAAGGCAGCTACAGTTCCTTAATTCATGCTGTGTACAGATTAGCAGGGAAACGGATATCTAAATGAGCATTTCTAGTCTGCTAGAGAGATTGTGACACAGAAACTGGCCACTAGGCTCTGGCATAAGAAAGGATTTTGGAAGGAGAGTAACAAGAACCATAGGCCACTTGGGAGGAAGGAACAATACCATCAGTGGCTCTATAAAAGTAGAATATAGGGGCTGGGAAGGTGGCTCAGTGGTAGAGTGCTTGCCTTGCATGCATGAGACCCTGGGTTCGATTCCTCAGCACCACATAAGCAGAAAAAGCCGGAAGTGGCGCTTTGGCTCAAATAGTAGGGCGCCAGCCTTGAGTTGAAGAGCTGAGGGACAGTGCTCAGGCCCAGAGTTCAGGCCCCATGACCAACAACAACAACAAAAAAAGTAGAATATATAAAAACCTGATTAACCTCTTCCTTATTTTGCAGGCTTAAAAACAAAAACAAAAACAGAAACCTCTACTTGCTGGGCTAGTTTCAGAATGTCAAGTACTGTGTCTTGGGTCTTTCATTCTGCCAGGAACCGAATTGCCACTTTACAAGGGGGCAGACGCTTATATTCAAGGAGTGTCACAAATGGGAATCAATTGAAATGGAGACTCCTTTGCCAGGCAACTCCTTCTCTGAAAAGCAGATCCCTTTGTAATAGCTTCCCTCTACAAAAAGCCTACCGGCACACATCAACAGAGGAAGAGGATTTCCACCTGCAGCTCAGTCCCGAGCAGGTAAATGAAGTGCTTCGAGCTGGTGAGTCAGCCCACAAGATTGATTTGGTCAGTGGAGTCCCAAATTCCGTGCTGCATTTTGAGAGCAACCAGCTGGCTGCCAATTCCCCAGTGGAGGACCGGCAAGGTGTTGCTTCCTGTCTGCAGACCAATGGGCTCATGTTCGGCATCTTTGATGGACACGGTGGTCATGCGTGTGCTCAAGCAGTGAGTGAGAGACTCTTTTACTACATGGCAGTGTCCCTGATGTCCCACCAGACGTTGGAGCAGATGGAGGAAGCGATGGAGAATATGAAACCCCTGCTGCCAATCCTGCAGTGGCTCAAGCACCCAGGGGACAGTATCTACAAGGATGTCACATCAGTGCATCTGGACCACCTCCGTGTCTATTGGCAGGAACTGCTTGACCTGCACATGGAGATGGGGCTGAGCATTGAGGAAGCGCTGATGCACTCCTTCCAGAGACTGGATTCTGACATCTCCCTGGAAGTTCAGGCCCCACTGGAAGATGATGTGGCAAAGAACCTGTTACTCCAAGTGGCTTTCTCTGGGGCAACAGCTTGCATGGCCCATATCAATGGAGTTCACTTGCATGTGGCAAATGCTGGTGACTGCCGGGCCATCCTTGGCGTCCAAGAAGACAATGGCAGATGGACTTGTTTACCGCTCACTCGTGACCACAATGCCTGGAATCAGGCCGAACTGTCCCGACTTAAGAGGGAACACCCTGAGTCAGAGGACAGGACACTTATCATGGATGACAGACTACTGGGTGTCCTCATACCCTGCAGGGCCTTTGGCGATGTGCAGCTGAAGTGGAGTAAAGAACTACAACGCAGTGTCTTAGAGAGGGGCTTTGACACAGAGGCCCTCAACATCTACCAGTTCACCCCACCCTACTATTATACTCCACCCTACCTGACTGCCAAGCCTGAGGTTACATACCACAGGCTGAGGCCTCAGGATAAGTTCCTCGTGCTGGCTTCAGATGGCCTATGGGACATGCTGGGCAACGAGGACGTGCTGAGACTTGTGGCGGGGCACCTATCCAAGGCGGATCACCACAAGCCAGACCTGGCCCAGAGACCCACCAACCTAGGGCTCATGCAGAGTCTGCTGCTGCAAAGAAAAGCCAGTGGGCTCCACACGGCTGACCAGAATGCAGCTACACATCTGATCAGACATGCCATTGGGAGCAACGAGTATGGGGAGATGGAGCCCGAGCGGCTGGCTGCAATGCTGACGTTGCCAGAAGACCTAGCCAGGATGTACAGGGATGATATCACTGTCACTGTGGTCTATTTTAACTCAGACTCAATTGATGCCTATTATAAGGGGGGTTAAGAGTCTCCTGTTCTATTGCCAAGGCTAAGGCTCATTAAAATATTTTCACGTGCTCTTAAATGAGCTATTCAGACCTTTACTGTTCAACAAACACTCAGATGTACCTTGTTGAATAATTGACTAACATGAGAAGGAAAAAAGAGTCAGCCTAGACTTAAAAACATTAGCAATGATTTTATGTCCCTGCTGGTGCCAGTCAGAGCGTCTATGCAGAGAGAACAGAGAATAAAGACCATAGAATTGGCTTGTACACAGTACTTAGATATTTTTAAACTATGTTATCCTGAGTGTTCAAAGGACAACATTTAATCATGATTCTGAAAATAAAGAATCCGAGAATCTTCTGAGATCTAATGGTAAAATCTTCAGGCTTGGTAATTCTGACTTCAGTCATATATTTTTAGGTTATGAAGTTTTTTGTTTTTTGTTTCATTTTGTTTTTTTTAATCATTAAAGCCTAGATTTACAAAGTGCACTACAGGACACTTTTCTATGCAATATTTTAACATTTTAAAAATGATTATTCTTATGATGATATTCTGTAATACTTCATTCTAGTTCTGTTTTAGTTTATTTTAAAACAGCATCTTCAAACCAAGTAGGCCTACTGTAAGCACATTAGAGACTGTTTGTTTTGTTCTGTAGCTGACAGAGAGGGTCTAGACCTCTGGCCTAGCCTAATTAACTTATGCAGCAATTAGTCTCACTATGGAGTCCCAGCCCTGAACCTTTGAGCCATACTAGGGGGTAATTTCTGTCAAGTCCTAAACTTCTGTCTTTTATTAGTGTGACACCTGCTCCTTAACTTAGCCTCATAGTAGTTAGACCTTCTGGTTATGTATTTCAAACATTTATGTTAATTCCATCTGACATACTCCTTCGGCGTAGCCTGATTTCATCCTGTGTTTGATAGGAAGAGTTTTTTCACCTGTTCCCTTTTCAAACGGCTGCAGGAAAGAACACAATGCAGTCACATGGTAATTATGTCTGACATTTAAGGCAAGATGAGTTTATGTAGAGGTTTGGGTACTTGGGATTGGGGCCTGAATCTAGAGAGGTGAAAATAGGAAGGGCCTAAGGAGCAGCCAAGGCTGTCTGTCTGCTTCCTGTGAGGCAGTGGGGAGAAGGGAGGAGGGACGCTTATCAGATGGGACACCTGCCCCTGACGGTTATAAATCACCATTACGAATCCTCAGGAATTAGACCATATTTAGTATAGGAGTTGAGCAAAATAAAAACCTTGTGGTTTCCATGGGCAGCAGAGTTCTTTTGTATTTACTTAGAAATTAACCCACATGGATCCTTTTTGGGAGATAAATTTCCTCTTCTGGTGGGTGGCTGTAGCATTTAAATAACGGAAATGTGTATCTAAATGGAAACACAAATATTATTTTTAAAGTATTAATTCACAAAACCCGCATCAGAACTCTTCAGTGTGGTCCAACTACGTTAGTTGATCCCTTGCCTTCTCTAGCCCCCTCATGGAAAAGAAAAGCAAATAACTAGGGTTAACATCCTCATTTTTGTCTGTGTCTCAGCTAACATTCTGCCAAGATTTGGACTATGTCTGTCTTGGGGACATGTCTCTGTACATATATATATTTTTTTGTAACTGTATTTTTTTTTTGTCTTTTTTGGTACTGGGGATCGAACCCAGGACGTTGCACTTGCTAGGCAAGCGCTTTGCCACTGAGCTACATCCCAGCCCTCTGTATATTTTCTACTTATCTCTAGTGATATGGCTTTATATGAGGAGATAAGCTCTTTGGGGGTACTTAAGACTTGGTTGTTTTTGTTGTTGTTGTTGCTTTTTTTTTTTTTAAGTTCTGAAGTTATTATGGTTCTTTCTGGTCTCTAAGACATTAATGCAAAAATAAATGTGAATCACAGCCAGCTGTGATAATGTATGCCTGTAATCCTAGCTATTTAGGAAGCAGAGGCAGGAAGATCACAAGTTGGAGGCCAGGTAGGGGCAAAATTTTATCTCAAAACAAAAGAGTATGTCTCAAGTGGTAGAGTACTTACCTAGCAAGCCATGGGCTCAATGTCCAGCACCATGAAAAAAAAAAAGAAAAAAAGAAAAGGTAAGAAAGTGAATCACTAGCAAATAGATTTGTTGCTCAGACCAAGGACTCCACTTGTCTAGCATTTTCTTTGCCCTTGTTTTTCCATGCAGCTAAACCCTAGAGCCTTACTGGCACACGTGGTGTCTGAATCCCACTTTAGAGCCTGGCAGAGATCATAAATATATCTGATTCAGTTATTTGTGAGGCAGTTGATAGAACACAGACTTCCACTTGTGTCTCTAAGCATGTCTGTGTTTTTTCTCTGCCTAATAGATTTCCTGAGTTTTAGCTGATATATTGAGAGAGAAGAAAGGCTGACTTATTATCTGCCTTCCTCCCTTCTTTCCCCTCCCCCTCATACACATGCACTGTGAACTCTCAGCTCTTCCCTAAGCAAGCTCCAGGGAACACGGCCTGGTTAAACTCCAGTGTGCTTTGTCTCCCTGGCCACAGTACTTGGCAGTGCCCTTTCTGAAGCCAGTTGGCTTCTGCTTAAGGACACCGCTGGATAGGAGGCCAGTGGTGCTTGTCACTTCCTTCAAAACACTTGTATATATAGCACGTTTTATACAGAAATGCCAATTTTCAGGCTTTGAAATTTTAAATTTAAACAATGAGGTTGACCATTTACTATTTTAGATGTAATATGAAGCGAGTATGCTTTGGTGCTTAAAATTGAATATTTATGATTTTAGGTAAACGATAATCCTGGTATAATTTAGATATTTTATGTTTAAATAGTATATAGTGCTACTGATTTTTGGAAATTAGTCTATGGAGAAGGTGGTAGTTCTAAATTTAAATTAGTATGCTTTATCAAATTACTAAGATTCAGTTTTTGAGATGTTTGTAATACTAAAGTTAATTTATTATAATGGAAATGTAAGCTTTGGATATTTTAATATATAAACATTGTTTCCCAGGAGTACATTTGGTCTTAGAACTTCAGTACTAAGTACACTGGGCAAAACTCAGTTGAGATACAATTGAGTTGGTATCTTGTAAATATTTGTGAAATATAAACAACTTAAACTTGAGTTAAGAAAGAGATTAATTATGTGGAACAACAAAAAAGGATTCAGAGTCAAGAGCTAGCTACTCAGGAGGCTGAGATCTGAGGATTGTGATTTGAAGCTAGCCCATGTAAGAGAGTTCATGCGATTCTTTACTGAAAAGCTAGAAGTGGAGCTGTACTTAGAGGTAGAGTTCAAGCCTTGAGTGAAAAAGCTAAGAGCCTGTGCCCAGGCCCTGACTTCAAGCTCCAGTACTTGCACCAAATAGGAAAAAAAAAAGCATTTGGTGTGAATCTGGCTTGATTTGTATCCATCAGTCCTTGGTGACCATTCTTAATCTAACAGCCCTTGGGGAGTGATAACTTCTCAGGTTAAACCAGAATATCTTGGAATGGAGCCATCTTCATTTCATCATAAAGTGGTTCTCATTGGCTTTTGACATGTGACTGTCATGGCAGGAAAGCTCCGCTGTTGCCTTGGATTTGTTGGGTGAAGGCTTGCGACATAAACTGTCAAATGCATGGCCTGAGAGGAGCTAAGTTTGGGCCACTTTAGTCATCTCTTGAACCACCTGAGGCTTCGAACTTTCGTTTTCCTGCTTTTGATGTCTAACTTACGTCCTGGAAAATATTGATCAACCAATCATGTTCTTTAGCAATCACTGGCATTTGTATTTTAAGCTGTTATTCATGTTTGTATTTGACACTGATTTCTTTGAACGCTAGAGATATTTAAGTTAAAGCTTGTAAATAAAAGAGGCAAAATGAACTTTGGTTTATCTTTGACTTGAATACTAATTTTTAAGCCGTTAGGATACTACATCACACTGCCTTTTCTTTCACAGTCTTTATCCAGCTAAAGATTTCTTGGCTATTTGAGTCAACCCAAAGTTAGGTATGGTAGTTTCATGCTTGTGATTCCAGCACTTAAGAGGCTGAGCTGACAGGATCTGGAGTTGGAGGCCAGCTTGGACTATACAGTGAGATGATATCTCAAAAAAAAAAAACAACCCAAACACACACACACACACACACACACACAAACCCAAAAATTCACCTAAAAGAGAAGCAGTCTGGTGCTCCCCAAATATTTGGTAGCTGCTGACACACAGGAAGTCCTTAGTTATGTGGAGACCTGAAAAGGAAGTGAAGACTTTGGTTTTGAGTGTCTACAGGCTCAGGGCAAGATTTCCTGCAGTTTTGTGACTTCATTTTGCTCTTCAAATCAGTTGTAAATCCAGCTTTTTTGTGTTAACAGTAAGTGCACAACCAGCTTTGGGAAGATGGTTCACATAGCTACCTTGATGGAACTGAAGCTCTCACTCCATCCTACCCCACTGACTACACTGTACCTTATGCCTAGAGTGTTAGCTCTTGGTGTAAGGACTGCTCCAGGGGTTCCTTATCAGAATACAGATTCAAGTAATCATTAATGCCTTAGTGTTTTTTGGATTGACATAATTGTACATATTTATGAGGTTAATATATATGCTGTGTAAGGATTACATTGGGGCAATTTGTATAACAACATTTTATTGCTTTTCGTTTTGTTTTTGGTCAGCCGTAGGGCCTGAACTCTGGATCTGGGTGCTGTCTCTCAGCTCTTCAGCTCAAAGCTAGCACTCTACCACTTGAGCCACAGTGCCACTTCTGGCTTTTTCTGCTTATGTGGTGTTGAGGAATCGAACCCAGGGCTTTCTGCATGCAAAGCAAGTACTATTGCTTTTTGAGCAGACTTGAGGAAGGGTGTATTGGGGGGTCTGATAAAAATAACAAGGAGCTGTTGTTCCCCTTTTTAACATGATGAAGCAGGTTTAGGCTGAAAAAATTTAGAAGCCCAAGAGATCACAGTGGGGCTGGGATTTCAACCAAATTCAACGTATTATCTCAATACTGGGATGTCAGAAAGGAATAACAATGCATGGAATCTTTTTGCAGTTTTGGCCCAGGCTGGAAGGTAGAGGAGGAAAGGTTGGCCGTGCTGAAAGGAGGCTAGAAAACTTTATTTATTTATTTATTTATTTATTTTTTGCGGTCATGGGGCTTGAACTCTGGGCCTGTTCCTGAGCTCTTCAGCTCAAGGATAGTGCTCAACCACTTGAGCCACAGCACCACCTCCAGTTTTCTGGTGGCTAATTGTAGATAAGAGTCTCCCAGACTTTCCTGCCTGGGCTGGTTTTGAACCATGATCCTCAGATCTCAGCCTCTTGAGTAGCTAGGTGTGAGCTACCGGTGCTGGGCCTAGAAGACTTTTTTCTTGTCATTACTGAGACTAAAGTAAACTTTTGTTAACTCTTGATGTTGTTTTGGCTGTTAGGAGTCAGCTGACATATACTCAACATATTTTCATGTTCTACCCATCATTTTGGAACATGATAAAAATAGAGGGAATTATAAAAGTAATTATTTTTAAAGTTGAGCTGTTTGAGCTCTTTAACCCGAAAAAAAAGTGTGTGTGTGTGTGTATGTGTATGTGTGTGTGTGCGTGTGTGTGTGGTACTAGAACTTGAACTCTGGGCCTAGATGTTATCCCTGTGCTAGTGTTAGTGCTAATGCTAGTGTTAAATGCTAGTGCTACTGTTCTACCACTTGAACCACAGCTCTACTTACAACTTTTTATGATTAACTGGAAATAAGAGTCTCATGCACTTTCTTGCCCAGGCTGGCTTTGAAACTCCATCCTCAGATCTCAGCTCCTGAGTAGCTAGGATTACAGGCATGAATGAACCATCAGCACCTGGCTAATTATTTTCTGAGACAGGATCTCCCTATATAGCCCAGGTGGGGCCAGAGCTTGAGATCCTCTTGCCTTAGCCTTCTAAATGCTGGGATTACAGCATTGCTGGAAAAAAATGGCAGATTTAGGCTATACTTTTTAATCTCTAGAATTTTTATTTCATTTTACGTAATACTTTCAAATACCTTTAATTGTCCCCAGTCCGATGACCCTCTGAACTGTATGTACATAGGTGGCCAGCACTCCAGGTGGCTCCCTCTGGAATAGGTGACTTATTGGTGGGTCTAAGCCATATTGGGCCTGACCAAGCACTCTTGATCTGGGAAATGAACTGGTTAGGGCAGCAAGGTGAAGAGTCCAGGGTTCCTCTTCTGACTTTCACTCTCAAGGAAATAAGCAGCCTAGGCCTAGGCTCTGTCCTTGAGCCTCTCTGTGCTCAAGTCTAGAGCTCTACCACTTGAGCCACAGCACCACTTCTGGATTTTTCTTTTTCTTTTTTAAAAAAAGATTTTTTAGAATTCAATATTATTTATTCACAATTTTAAACTAAAGTCAAGGCTATTTATCTTCTGTTGTACTTCTGGCTTTTTCTGTGTATGTGGTACTGAGGAATCGAACCCAGGCTTTCATGAATGCTAGGCAAGCACTCTACCACGAAGTCACATTCCCAGCCCAACCTATACCTGTTCTTACCTCTTGGCAGCAGACAGCCAGAGGAATGTGTGCCTCTTGCAAACCTTGCATGGCCAGGGGCAGTCATGTGACGACCCATCTGGCTAGGGGCTGAGAGGCTTTTGACACTGGCCATGTGGGGACTGGTAAGGG